ACTGTTCTGACATTCTTGGACCTCAAGAAATTAGATTGGCCATCAGTACTTCAGGATTGATCAATATTCAGATCTATACCATAGTTTGTGAACTCTATAACTTTCCTACAAACTAAAAAAACATCCTAATTTGGGTTATTTTCACCAAAGACATGTAGCAGAATACATCTCGGCCTAAATTTATGAAGAACAATTATTTATTTGTAAACTTTTATAACAGAAACAAAGAAAAATGTGTTTTTTTTTTCAAAATTTTCTGTCTTTTTTTGTTAATTTAGCAAAAAATAAAAACCCCAGCGGTGATTAAATACCACCACAAAAGAAAGCTCTAGTTGTGTGAAGAAAATGATAAAATTTTAGTTTGGGTACAATGTTGTATGACCGCGCAATTGTCATTCAAAGTGTGAGAGCGCTGAAACCTGAAAAATGGCCTGGGCAGGAAGGTGTAAAATTGCACGGTATTGAAATGGTTAAATCATATGGATCAGCAGCCTTCTTCCTCCAGTAGGTCTCCTTATGGGGCTCCTATTGCCCCTAAACAGCCCAGATGTCTCTAGGGAACAGTGGCTCACCCACTGAGCCCAGCCAGGCGGTATGGAGTGTCCGGGGTACCAATGGTCAGGAGCCCCTCTCCAGCCAGATCTGCATTTGAGCTCTATGCAGTTTAATACAAGAACAACCAAACCAGCTCTCTAATAAGTGACACCTTGATCCACCTATACGTAGGAGCGAGCGCCTAGCAACACTGCAGACATTGAAAATTCAATAACTCATTGGTAAATCTACAGAAAATATGGTGAAATTGCCAACAAAAAGCACAATTTTAAATTGCATCTAGTGTGAAACAAGCAGGCAATTCAACAAAGGAAATAAATCTTTGAAGGCATGCGGTATCTGCATGCTCGGATAAGGGTCTGTTAAGGATTTGGGGGGGGGGACTCCATGCCATTATTTTATTAATTTTTTTTTTTTAATCCTTTTCTCTCTCTTGCTCACTCTTCTCATGGTTTGACAAACCTTCCCAAAAGGAGGTGGAGTGCAAACCAGCATTATCCAATCAATCATTAGTCCAGACCCTTATCTCATCCCATCGTTTGACATTTACATAAGGTTCAACTTTAAAGGTGTTTGAACAGACAAGGCCTCATTCTAATTCACATTCTAGGGATCATTTAGACAGAAAGCAAAGATGCTGCCACCAGCGCATGTATGTTAGGGTAGTCACACGTAGATCATGCAAATTAATTGCCGTGGTTGGGATTCAAACCGATAACCCTAGTGCTGTGAGGCAGCAGTGCTAATCACTAATCCACGGAGCTGTTGAACACTAGTCCTGCCTGTATTTCTGTGGTGTGAATCAACCATAAGTCCCTGGGCAAAGTCAGTGTAACTAGCCAGATGTCTCCAATGTGACACAAATGTTGTGCCAATTCAGATGTATGTTGGTTCTATGCAGGGGCGGACTGACCATTTGGAAACTCGGGCATTGCCCGAGGGCCTGGGGTCAGTAGGGGGCCCCATGAGATGCCCCTGGTACCTTTTTCATAGGCTTTTTTTGTTTGGACAAGGACACAGGGGCCCCATGATCCCCTATTGCCCGGGGGCCCCATGAGTTGTCAGTCCGCCCCTGGTTCTATGTATCCCAATACAAAGGATTGCAATACTAATACCTGGGTTTACCAACGCCTCGGTTAACGCAATTTTTGGTTTACGAATGAAAATCCATTGAAAATAATGCCTCAGTTTACACAATTGTTAATAATTTTTTTCGCAGTACAAAGTGTATGCAGCGCTGATTTTCAAATGTAAATGCCAGCCTTTTTTTTTTCTTCACTATAGTTCACAAGCTTAGAAGTCACTTTCCCCGAAGTTACAGAAAACTTTGTATCTTTTAATAAACTCAAAGTAAACATTGTTTCCTTTAGGGATATAAATTCCAAGAAAACTTTCTCTTTTAGCTGGGGGAAGTGACAACTGAATTTCTGAGCTATAGTGAAGAAAAAAAAAGGGAGAATTACATTTAAAACCCAGCACCATAATAAATAAAAAAACGGCATGGGGTCCCCCCTCCCATCCACACCAAGCCCTTCGGGTCTGGTATGTATCTTAAGGGGTAACTCCACACCAAAATGTAAAAAAAAAATGGCGCGGGGTCCCATCCACAACAAGCCCTTCGGGTCTGGCATGGATATTAAGGGGTAATTCCATGCCGAAATTAAAAAAAAAAACTGCATGTGGTCCCCCCAAAATCCATACCAGATCCTTATCTGAGCATGCAGCCTGGCAGGTCAGGAAAGGGGGGGGGACGAGCAAGCGCCCCCCCCCCCCTCCTGAACCATACCAGGCCACATGCCCTCAACATGGGTGCTTTGGGGCAGGGGGGGCTTCCCCCCAAAGCACCTTGTCCCGATGTTGATGGGGACAAGGGCCTCTTCCATTAGTGGGATAATTGGTCGGCCGTTTTTTCGGGATTTTGGCACATTTTGTTTATCGATAAATTTGGAAAACAAACGGCCGATTTTGCCGATCGGACAATTTTTGCGGCAATAATCAGCAAAATCAGATGATTTTTTTCCAAATTTAAGATTAAAAAAAGTGCCAAAATCCCAAAAAACGGCTGACCAATTAACCCACTAACGGCCTGAAAATCGGCCGATTTTTTTTTCAGCTGAAAAATCGGCAGATTTTAGCTCCATCTATGGCCTGCTTTTCGACCGAAAAAAAAAAAAAATCGGCCGATCACTCGGGCCGTTAGTGGGTTAATCGATCGGCCGTTTTTTGGGATTTTGGCACATTTTTTTTATCGGTAAACTTGGATAAAAAATCGCCTGATTTTGCCGATCGGCCGATTTTCGCGGCAATGATCGGCAAATCGGCCAATCTTTTACTGATAAAAAATCTGCGCATGAGCCGTGACCTTCAAAAAAAGAAGAAAAAGAAAAATGCAGGCCATAGACGGGGCGAAAACCGGCCGTTTAAAAAAAAAAAAAAAAAAAATTAGTTGTTCAATCGCCTGACATTACCACCAACGGTAAAAAAAAAATCGGCCGATTTTCACCCGTCTATGGCTGGCAAATATAATAGCAAAGTAATTACTTCTGTCCCTGCAGAGAGCTGCGCTATTATATTTGACATTAAAAAGTATAGAAGTTGCAACATTGTATCTATTTGTATCCGAATAAAAACATCTATATCCAAAATGGATACAAATAGATACAATGTTGTAACCTCTATACTTTTTAATGTCAAATATAATAGTGCAGCTCTCTGCAGGGACAGAAGTAATTACTAATAAAAATAATAGAAAAAACTGCGTGGGGTCCCCCCTCTCCATCCATACCAAGCCCTTCGGGTCTGGTATGGATATTAAGGGGTAACTCCACGCTGAAATTAAAGAAAAAAAACAGGCTGCTGTTCCCCCTAAAATCCATACCAGACCCTTATCCGAGCATGCAGCCCGGCAGGTCAGGAAAGGGGGGAGGCGAGCGAGCGCCCCCCCTCCTGAACCATACCAGGCCACACGCCCTCAACATTGGGGGGTGCTTTGGGGCAGGGGGGATCCCCCCCAAAGCACCTTGTCCCCATCAATCACAGCGACCCGAAAAAAGAAAAAAAAAAAGTTCCGCACCCGACCAAGGCTAGCTGCCTTATGCAGCCAGTCTTGCTGACAGGTCTTAAGGTAAGGGGCGGGGCCAGCCGGGGACATCATCCGAGTGACCCCGCCCCATGTTACATGCTTGATGTCCCCGCTGGCCCCCGCCCTTACCTATTTAAGAACTGTCAGCGAGACTAGCTCCTGCATAAGGCAGCTAGCCTCAGTCTACAGTGGACCTTTTTTTTTTTTCATTTTTTGGGTCGCCGTGATTGATGTTGGATCTACTTCGGGGGACATTGTTTTATTAAAGGATTTGTCAAAGACCCTGTACTGTGTTTGTTTACGTTACACTTTTGCTTTTTTTGTGAATTAGTAGCGGTACCCGTGTACCGCCGCAGACTTATTCACGTGGGGGGGGCGGGATCTGGGGGCCCCCTTGTTAAAGGGTTGTGGGGAAGAGGCCCTTGTCCCCATCAACATGGGGACAAGGTGCTTTGGGGGGGAGCCCCCCTGCCCCAAAGCACCCCCCCCATGTTGAGGGCATGTGGCCTGGTATGGTTCAGGAGGGGGGGCGCTCGCTCGCCCCCCCTTTCCCGACCTGCCGGGCTGCATGCTCGGATAAGGGTCTGGTATGGATTTTAGGGGGAACCCCACGCTGTTTTTTTCTTTAATTTCGGCGTGGAGTTACCCCTTAATACCCATACCAGACCCGAAGGGCTTGGTATGGATGGGAGGGGGGACCCCACGCTGTTTTTTATTATTTATTAGTAATTACTTCTGTCCCTGCAGAGCTGCGCTATTATATTTGACATTAAAAAGTATAGAGGTTACAAAAATGTATCTATTTGTATCCATTTCAGATATAGATGTTTTTATTTGGATACAAATAGATACAATGTTGTAACCTCTATACTTTTTAATGTCAAATATAATAGCGCAGCTCTCTGCAGGGACAGAAGTAATTACTTTGCTATATATTTGCAGGCCATAGACGGGACGAAAATCTGCCGATTTTTTTTTTTACCATTGGTGGTAACGTCGGCCAATTGAACAACCGATTTTTTCGTTTTTTTGTAAACGGCCATTTTTTTTACCCGTCTATGGCCTGCATTAATGTTTCAGCTGTCAGCGGGGTTCCCATTAAGAATTGTCAGCGAGACTGGCTCCTGCATAAGGCAGCTAGCCTCAGTCTAGAGCGGACCTTTTTTTTTTTCTTTTTTGGGGTCGCCGTGATTGACGTTGGATCTACTTTGGGGGACATTGTTTTATTAAAGGACTTGTCAAAGACCCTGTACTGTTTTTTTTTTTTACACTACACTTTTGCTTTTTTTTGTGAATTAGTAGCGATACCATGTACTGCAGACTCATTCACTCGGGGGGGGGGGCGGGATCTGGGGGCCCCTTGTTAAAGGGGCTTCCAGATTCTAAAAAGCCCCCCGCCCGCAGACCCCCCACCCACAACCACCGGCCAAGGTTGTGGGGGAAGAGGCCCTTGTCCCCATCAACATGGGGACAAGGTGCTTTGGGGGTTTAACCCCCTGCCCCAAAGCACCCCCCCATGTTGAGGGCATGTGGCCTGGTATGATTCAGGAGGGGGGGGGGGGGGCGCTCGCTGGTCCCCCCCCCCCTTTCCTGACCTGCTGGGCTGCATGCTCGGATAAGGGTCTGGTATGGATTTTAGGGGGAACCCCACGTTGTTTTTTTTCCTTAATTTCGGCGTGGAGTTACCCCTTAATATCCATACCAGACCCGAAGGGCTTGGTATGGATGGGAGAGGGGGGACCCCATGCAGTTTTTTTTTCTTGCAGACCTTTATTTTTTACACTCGGCTTCGAAATAAGTAAAATCATTACAGAAATAATTATAAAGGATAAGAAACAAAAATAGAATCAGAAGAACTAAGGAAATCAAATTAGAATACATAAAGATATGCCTAGTGCTGTTTGTTAAAACAGTAGACGCGACTGAGTGCCGTCTGTCAGTGGACTCCACACAGAGATTTACTATTGAACAGCGGCTAAAAAGCAAGCGCCCACAGAGGACGTCTAAAATGTGTTCTGCACATGCACATTTATATCGGCCAAAGACGCTCTACAAGCGTCTAGTTTTTCACAATGTCGACTTTCTTAAAAAACACTATTTTTAACACATTTTAAATTTTTTTTGAAAATGGCAAATATTGTTTAAAGTGAAGTCTTGATTTTTGGCAAAGCAAATTTCAATGTGAACATGTTTCTGCAGTGATTTTTCATGGTGTTAGACATGCCTCTTAGCAAGTCTGCTTTTTGAGTCTGATTCCTGCTCTGTGTCTCATTAGTAAATTCAATTTGGCGTCTACTTGTTGACACTCTCTTTAGTAAATCTCTTTGCGGTGTAAAAGTAGACGGTCGCCACTAAAAAATAGATGTTCGCCCACGGAAATGTGCCTGGGCACAATAGTAAATCAGGGCCAGTAGAGTCCAGAGATGTGCAACAAAAGTGGTGAGGAATAAAACATATCAGGAGAGACTTTAGGAAATTATTATGTACAGACCGGAAGAAAGAAGGGAATGAGGAGACATGACTGAAACCTTTACATACATTAAGTATGTGAATAAGGTTCAGAAGGGCAGTATTTTCAATATGAAGCCAAGATAATGAACACGGAGACATGACCTCAAACTAGCTGGAGAAAAGTTCAAAATTAATTGTGAAAGACCGCCTGGCACCTCGGCTGGGTGCTTCTGTCAGAGAGCTGCTTCCTCACCAGTGGGACACAGAAACAAGGTATTATAGCTGGGCATTGCACCCAAGAAAAAGACAACACTAGCTTAGGTACAACTGGAACTCAACGTTATTGAACATTCACACCAAATTTATATCACATAAAATCAGTTAAGAGCTTGATCACATGATTCTACAGAATACAACCTGTAAAAGTGATATTATCAGTACATCTAACAATACCTATAATGAACAGCTAACATTTAACAGTGATCTAATCAAACAGTAATCTAATTAACAGTTAGCAGTTAACAGTGATCTAATTAACAGTAAGTTAATCAACAGGCAGTCACCCAGACCAGCTAGGAGCCCAAACCAGAAAGCAAAGTACATTACATTATTAATAATGTACAAAGTACACTACACATGCTGTCTTTCAGGTGTTTGCCTTTTACTTGTATAATCGGTTCACTAGAAAAGTCATCATAAGACAAAGCTCATACAATATTCCAAAAGTCTGGAAAAGTGGAATTCATTTATCTTCATAGACTTCTTGAGGGAGATTGGTTTCCCAAGTAGAGGAGCTTCTCTAACCCAGTCTGCAGGAGGGCCACCATATTTCCTCTAACCATTAACCTATGCCAGATCAATATTACACCTTTCTATCCACTCCAGAAGGGAGTTTTTATTGTCTTTATTCAGAGAATTAATCCAAGCTTCGCTCTCGGCATTCATCATGTTATTGTCCATCATTAGAGAATGATCTGCTCTCTCCATGGGATCAGAGGCTGAACTGAGCATTTTTCCATGCTCTAATCAAGAGAAGCAGACAAAATCCTTTGTCTCCTCCATGGGCCCTACTAAATGGGTAGAAGGCTAGCCCCTAGTCTTCTCCAAAAGACCCTTTCTGGTTGGGTCTGCCACACAAATCATAGAAAGTATTATTTTAATGAAAGGGTTGTTGATGATTGGAATAGTATTCCAGCAGAGGTAGTGAGTCAGTCAACAGTAAGTGATTTCAAACATGTTTGGGATAAACATAGATCTACTGTATACTCAAAGACAAAACTAGCAAACTCGATTGAGGTCCTAGTCTTATTTCTGCCACCATTCTTCTAGTTTTTTATGTTTTCTATGTGTCTGGCATTGTCACTGACAACCTGCTCTGATAGTGGTAGCCACACTTTGTGTTGGTCTCTAGCTTTTGTAGTCCAGTGCTGGTCAATTTATCTGTACCAAGACATCTATAATAATGATTGTGTTGAATTAATGCCCCCCTCTAGTGTCCAGCTGTAATAGTGACATTGTGCTAATGACACTGAGAGAGAGGAGGATCTCATGGAGAGCAGGGGATTGTGGGACATGTAGTCCGGATAGGAGAGACTTTCCAAGAACCTATGCTGCTGGGAACTACAGGATCCAGCCTGCTGGAGGAAGAGAGGTGAATGTTGGGGGAGGATATATAAGTCGAGAATGTTCCTCCTCTTGGGACTACAGTCTCGAGCTGCAAGCAGGGACCTGGCTGCTGTGAAGAGATGAGCAGGGCATGCGGTCCGGATGGAACGGGAGTAATTGGTGTGTGTGCTATTGACCATCCACCAGAACACCCGTCTGCAGTTTCCTGTTGACAGACGTGACTGATCCAAGGCATGAGCAACGTCACCGTCACCGTCTCATCCTCAGCGAAATCCCAGTGTCACCAGTGACTAGGCCGAGCATTCCAAACCAGTTGCAGATTCTGTGGGACCCTTCCAGGACACCCTGGATCTCTTAAGCCATGATATCGCCAGGATTGGTGAGTGGGCACAACCCCACAAAGTGTACACTCTTCACTAAGGGACACTGCATGCAGACACCTTTTTATACCTCACACCTGCTTACAAGTTTTAGACCCTATGCCTGGAATCATCCCCGTAAAATATTGAATATTTCTGGTCTCCTTTGCACAGCAATCATTTGGACCCTCATTTAGCAAGCTGAAGACTCAAGACATCCTTTCCACTAGAACTCTCCTTGATACTCCTTAATCCCAGGACTCTGGGCTTATCCATGTACATATGTTAAAGGGACTCTATTTAAAACAGTTTACTTGCATAGCTCATACATTTAATATATAGAGTGTGCTGTTTAAAGGGCCTGTGGCATCAGGATTCTGAGGGAGCAGGCTGACATGATAAAGTCTTCCTCTTCCCTTTTCTACCTGAGGTCAGAGGCCTCCCTTACTGACTATATTTGAAAACCCTATTTGAATTATTGTGTTTACCTCTTCCAAGTTCACCTGTGGTCATGGTTTTGAATTTCCAGCAAGGTGTTTGCCGTCTGAGAGGTATTCTAGTAACTGGTATTTACTGTTTACTGACTGGATAATTCTTAGTAAAGACTCAACTGCATTACTGCATTCAAGTGTCAGTGCAACTTTTTCCTGTGTGCATTATGTCTGAACCCAGAGTGTCAGAGCAAGCTTTGGGGGTCCATGTCTTACAGTGGCCCTCATGAGGGTAGCACTACACTTTCAAAGGAGAAAAAACAGATTAATGTTCCCTCCACACATAGCCTTATACAAAGGAGCATTAATCCTCGTTCACATTGACATACATAAACATACACACATGTGAGATTTGTGTTTGCCTTCAGAGGATGCACAGGTGTTCCAGTGCATCTGTGTGCAGGCAATACCTTTCATATCAATTGGGATGCAGTGGCTGCACAGACACAGTCCATATGTGTGCAAGTGCATGTCCCTGAATGCAGACAGTGTGAGTTTGGGGACACTCACCTGCACCCACACAGATGTTGTCTTGACAAGGCTATTTCCGTGCAGCTGCTGTATCCCCATGGACATGAAAAGGAATAATACATGGATGAGTGAAACACCTGTACATCCTATGCGGGCAAACAAGACTCTTCACACAGGTCTGTACTTAAGTAAATTCTTATAAACATGGCCCTAGTCTGCAGATTACAGGCATAATGCACATACTTATCTTTCTTTTGCTTCACATTCATTAAATTGTCAGAAAGAAAGAAAAATACCAGTGTAATACCCTGCAGGTTAGCCAGATAGGGTGGTTTGGTTTTTTTTTAGGTAGAGGCTGAGTAGCAGTCTAGGATGAGTCAACCTGTGGGTGAGACAGGAGTTCACTCCAGGACAGACTAGGGAGGTTCAGAAGGTCAGAGCTTCTGGAGCCTTCCCACCTCTCCAGAACCTTGAGAGCTTTCAGGAGGAGGAGGGACGAGGGAGGGGAGGAGGCTCAGATCTGCATGCTTGAGGGTCCTTGGCCAATACCCTGACAGGAGGCTGGGCATTGTGACCAAGCCAACCCTTAAGTATCTCAGAGCCTGGGAGCAGTCAGGCAGCGTTGGGTGGAAGATGGACTGAGAGGAAGGCTGGAGTGAAGAGCCTGGGAGAGGACCCTAGGGGCCCAGGGAGTGGAGCCCACTGGCAGGCAGGATTCTGGAAGGGAGGATCTCCTTTGTCCCATTGTCTCCTTGGGAGGACGGCCTGTGAAGCAGGGAAGGTGCCAGCCCAGCATAAGGCCTGAAGGCAGCCACCAACTCACCATGCAAACAGGGAAAAACAGAGTGAGTACTCCTACACCCCCTGGACCAGATAAAGGGAGAGAGTGGTCAGGTGCAATACCCAAACTAGTCTTCACCCAGGTCTGTCCTCAATCTACAATTCTTGGGCCCCCTTGCCCAGGGAATACCCTCAGGCTGCTGGGTGAAGAGAAGGATTCATCCAGGGGTCTGACGATTTATACGAAAGAGCTTTGGAGGCTCTTAGAAGAGAGACTATTTTTGTCCACATTTTTTGTACATAGTTATTCTAAGTTGTCCTCAAATTTACAGTTTCTCTTCTCATCCTGTATACCCCTAGACCCCATCCAAGTTGTTAACCCCTAAATAAAAAACAACAAAACCAAGCTCTTGGACTGTTTACTGTCTCCAGTGTGCAAAGTGTGGAATAAAATGTGTTGCCTGTCTGTGTAGAACTTTAGGGGGACCCAAAATTCAGAGACTCCTAAGGGGGTATTGCTACACTTGGTACTTTTGGTATGAAGGAGCATGTGGCACA